GCAGATAAGGATGCTGCTGTGAGCTGCGCTGGGCTTCCTTCCTCTTCTGCGATGACACCCAGAGGAGGTGTGAAAGGCTTATTCTGGCCGTCACACTTGGGCTGTGAGAACACACTGCTGGGAAAGTGTGAGCTCTCACTTCATCTTTAAAGTTAGGCTGATGAGCAGCGGACTGAAAAAGGTGTCAGATTTTCTAACATTCTGTGGAAGTGGACTGTCACTATGAAATCTGAACTGCATGTGCAGAGGTTTACTGCGAAGCTCAAAGCTGGACCCGTAGCTTTTTCAGGGCAGGGAGACGGGCGATAGACGCCTGGAGCTGCTAACTGTGTGACCAATCTGTGGTCCAATCTGTGGTCCAGTCTTTGGTCCAGTCTGTGTTCCAGTCTTTGGTCCAGTCTGTGGTCCAGTCTGTAGTCCAGTCTTTGGTCCAGTCTGTGGTCCAGCTACATCTGAGGGGGCAGAAGAAGAAAAGCGCTGCCTTTGAGCCCTCTGGGGACAAACAGCTCCAGACACATTTGTTTAGACACGAGTACTTTCATGGACTGATGACGATTACTCATAAAGATTAACATGTAGCCTCCAATCATACCTGGATTATGCTAACCCCTCTGACTGATAGCCTCCACAGGAGCCCCCATATGTTAACATGTTTGTGTGCTAATCCCTGGAGGCTTTTTGGAGGGGGGGCTCTGCTTATTACAGAGGCAGCAGAACCAACTCTGACCTCTGCTTATTAACAGTCTCTGCTTACAGCTGAAAGCCTCCAGGAAAACAAGCAGTAATAGCAGTTTCCATATTTCTGAGGGGATAATCCCTCTGGTTAAAAGGATCTGCTGCAAACTGAAGCTGCCCAGTCGCAGTAAACAACAACACCCATAAACAGAGATCCTCTCAGTCGTCTCCGCTTCCTGCTGAAGTGGCCTGTTTGTCTCAAGAAACAGCAGTAATCCTCTTTTTCCCCAAAGACCTGAAGCTCATCTGTTTACCAGCACAGAGGCAGACAAACACTGGGAACAACAAGGAGAGCAAGGCCCTCTCCCAGAGTCTCAGCCAGCAGATGATGGACGCTTTCACTCTCAGTTGGAGGAAACATGGCCTCGGGAGGCTCAGGCTGTGGGCCTTAGGAGGCTCAGGGAGGCTGTGGGCTTCAGGAGGCTAAGGGGAGGCTGGCTGTGGGCCTCAGGAGGCTCAGGCTCAGGGCTTCAGGAGCCTCAGGCTGTGGTCCTCAGGAGGTTCAGGGTGCCTATGGGCTTCAGGAAGGTCAGGGTGGCTGTGGGCTGCAGAAATACAGGGCGTGTTAACACTCGTTTCTTGGCTCTGCGACCTGGACCACAGCTAAAAAGAGTCACATCGGTGTTCGCTTTGATCAGATAAGAGTCAGTTTGAATGAGCTCACTGCTGACATCAGAGGCCCCAGACACCCCGGCATGGAGCTCAGATGGTCTGGACGGTCCCCACACCCAGCCCTGCGGGGACCGTCCAGGGGCAGCTGCTCCGCTCCAGCTCAGGATCAGCAGCCTCCAGTTTTGCTGCTTTGGCCCTTTAGCTGCTCCACAGTCGAAAACCTGCTTCATCAGCAGGTTTCTGACTCAGCACGGCCCGGGGATCCAGAGCCCAGCCTCCTCACCTGCGTCAGATCTGGGCCTCTGTCCGTCACCCTCCGATTCCCATGTTGCACAAACCTGAAACGTCCCTTAAACGTTTGTTACCACACACCTCCCAGCCTGGCTCACCCCCCCCCCCCCTTCCCCGCCACCCCCCCCGCACCGGGCGTGTGGGGGGGAGGGGGTTGGGGCCCCAGATCCAGAGCGGGGAGGGGGGGGGGGGGGGGAATGTCCAGCCAGCTCTGACCTGACGAGGCTGAAAGGAGCCGCCGTCTGCAGGTGATCTAACGGAGGTGTTGTGTAACCGGGCTGCTGGAGCAGGTGGCTCCTTTCCCTCCTGTCAGCCGGCTCTGCCCGTGTGGGGCAGCTGACCTCATGGCTCCACTCTGCTCTGGCCTCTTTGCCCCCCCCCCCCCACCCAGGCCGTCTGAGCCCTGCCATGTCCCGGATGTGTCCAGGAGTGGCCGACCTGCTGTCCCTCATCCTCTGAGCCTGAGCCAGAGCCCAGACTGTCTGCAAATTAGAGAAATTAGCCCAGCCGGGCGCGAGCCAGTGAAAGAGCCTAAATCCCGGCCGCCCCCCC